AGTGATAAACAAATTATATAAACCATTAATTTTCTTAGTATAACAAAAAAAATAATATTGTATCATTACTAGAGTAAATGAATTAATATTCATACAAAAAAATGACAACTGTTATAAAGAAATGGATTAACACTCACCACCCCATGCTAGATGTTTGTGCAGAGCCCATTTTCCTCTCCCCTGCCACTGATGAATATCATTATGAAAATGATAAAGATGATGATGATGATGAAGATGATGATGATGATGATGATGATGATGATGATGATGATGATGATGATGATGATGATGATGATGAGGGCAGGGGAGTTTACAAGTTCTCCTCTGCTTCGGAAGAGGAGGCAGAGGAGAGTGGAGGGAGGTCAGAGCTGGGAGCGGCAGGGGGAGGGTCGTCCAAGTCAGAATCAGAGTCAGGAGGAGGAGGAGGTGCATGAACAGGAGGCTGAGGCTTTCTTGCAGTTCTAGAAGGTGTAGGGCTTTGAGTAGACGAAGGCAAGAAGAACATGGAGATAGAAGGCTGGGCAACCTGGTGCATGAGTCCCTTTAGTATTTCCTTGTAAGGAGTCAGAAGCTGCTCCATCCCTCTCCTTAAGTTAACTGCTCTCTCAATAGAGGGATCGACGTTGAAAACCATGTCCATGAGTACCTTACTAGCCAGCAAGAACATGTTGAGGCTTGTGACGGTTAAGGAGGGCACTTCACCTTCTTCTTCTTCCTCCACTCATCCTCACGGCGCTGCTCCTCGACAAGCTCGGCCAGCTCTTCCTTAATCAGCTCTTCCCCAGCATGACCCAGGAGCTCCTATTGCACCTCTTCCTCCTGAAGGTCGTGAAACCCCTCACCTCCCAGTTGACGGGCAACCTGGTCGATGTGCTGCGCATCCTCGTCGACTGTGGGGAAGCCAGCAAAGTCGTTCACCACCTCTGGCCACAAGGCCCTCCAGCAGGAGTTAACACAGAGGGCTGTCAGGTCATCATGGCACTGCTGGATGAAGGAGATGCAGTCTGCGATGGAGAACTTCCTCCACATTTCCTGCACTGTCTCAGCACCATCCCGTGTGTCCTCGAAAAAGGCTTGCCGTATCCTGAAGGTGTGGGTCATGTACTGGCCTTGAAAACAGCAATGACTCTGGTCGAGTGGTTGAGCAACCATGTTGTGTTTTTGGGCAGAAAGATCACCTCGGCATTTTTTGTTTGCAGCCTTGAGGGCCTTTGGGGTGGCCAGGGCTGTTGTCAATCACAAGGAGCACCTTAAACTCCAGGCATTTCTCTGGAGGTAATCCTGACCTTCCTCACAAAAACATTTGTGTAACCAGTTGGTGAATAACATTGACGCCATCCAGGGTTTCTTGTTGTAGGTAGAAAGCTGAGGAGGTGCATGTCTTATTCTTGAATGCACACAGACGCTTGGCATGGCACAGGCATGGGCTTGATCATATGTCCTGCAGAGCTACCACATAGCAGGAGAGACACGATCTTAGCCACCTTGAAGCCCAGTGCACTCCATTCCTCCTGAAATGAAAGTCCTGGCTGGCATCTTTCCACCACAAGCCAGTTTCAGTCAGCATTAAAAATTTGCATCGACTTGTAGCCCTTCTCCCGGATAATCTCAGCGAAGATCGCAGGATACTCCCTAGTTGCTGCATCATCCGCTGAGGCTGACTCCAGTCCAGTGATCCTCAAACCACCCTTTACTGGCATTATCTTTTTTTTGAGGTACAGTAAGTCCTCGTATAATGTCAACCCCGCTGACGCGTTTTTTTGCATAACGACAAGCATTTTTAGATACCAATAATTCATTTAATCCCAACGACTCAATATAACATCGCTTTTTGTCGTCACTGTTTTCCCATAAGAATACATGTAAATGGTACAGGATAGAGAATTGACTTGGCAGAATGAAACTTACATTGCTGGGATCCTTGTAAGTGAGTGATTAATTTGAAAAAACATGTTATAGTTTGCACTGACATAAAAAATTTTTGAAATTATTTAGTATATTTGAGTACAGTATAGGTTTGTCCTTAGGACAATATGTATTTAGGGTGGTGTGCATGTAAATGAGTAAAATAAATGAAGGAAGTTACTATATCTACCAAAAAATAAGTTGATAAACATGTACAGTAATTAAATATACTTAAGGGATTAAAATTTTATCTCTTTGCGTAAATTATATGATGTCTATACCGTATATCTCGGCTTATAAGACCGAATTTGAACATTAAAAATCTGCCCAAAGTTAGGGGTCATCTAAACCACCAAGTATAAAATTTTAGTGTGTCAAGAGTGGTGATGGAAACATCGTAAGCCACCCACGGTCTTACCACTAATTATTTTATACTGAAACTTACGCTAAGCTGGATTCAAATTAAGATTACGGTATATTAAAATAATAAAATGTATTATAAACCTGTCTAACATACCGTAAAAGAGAATTATACCCTGTAATAAACACAGCTATCATCACACACCCTCCCCCACACCCCCCATTTGCCAGTGAGGAGACAAGAAAGGGAAAGGAGATTGGGCTATTTTTAGCCGTGGAGGTGGTCAGTAATGCATATCGGTATTTACTGATAATAATACTTATCTCCTATAAATAATTAATTTAAAATTTATTTTTTACAAAGAATATTCAGTAAATGACTGCATTAATTTTTGAAACTACTGACAGTTAAATACAGACGCTTAAGTGACGTCACTAGTGTTTACACTACACCAGCTGGTAACATTTGATGCCATACTTGAAGTGAATTGGCTTTATTTTAAGTAACTAACCATAAATAAATGCAAAAAGTAAAAAAAGATCAAAAGTGAGAAATAATAAACTGTATGTATGTTGTGTTGTCAAAGTTAGAGGAACAATTCAAACTGCAATTGTGTGTAAATGAGGCAGAAAGTCAGGTCAGCGCTGAACCTGGGACTTGGTCACTTTCGTGATGCCATATGGCAGCAGGGTCTACCATTAGACAACACATTATGCTTCCAATATCTTCCCAGGCGGTAGTATCTACCTGTTTGGTAGCCTACTACCTACACAATTTTTAGTAATATTACTTTGATACATGATAAATTAGACAATGAAAATAAACATCAAATATAATTACCAAGACGCTCCCATTGGCAGCTGTAAGAAGAGGGGAGATGGGCTATTTTCATCCTCTTTGTGTCTGAAGTGGCCAGTAATACCATATATTTACTGATCATAATACTTATCTCCTATAAATAATTAATTTAAAATTTATTTTTACATAGAATATTCAGTAAATGACTTTTAAATAAATAAACAAATGATTCAGTAAATCTATTTCAAGTAAATGGAAAATAAGCAAACAAATGTTATTACCACCACCCTTCCCTCTGGCTCAGGGTGAGATGGAGAAGATCCAGATGGTTGGTAAAGGACTACTGAGTCAGTGGGTAAGTGTCACATTTGGGGTACTGGTCTTATACAGCGAATAGAGCTCAAAAGCTACTTTTTAAATGGAAATTTGGGGGGGCCGTCTTATGCACCCCGACGCCTTATAGGCCGAGATATACGGTATTCATATTATTCGCTGTCTTGCAAGGATTACACCAATGCAATTTACATTCTGCTAACTTTAGTCTGTGCCATTTTATAATATACAATCATTAAGCCTGACGCCACCTTCAATCTTGCCGGAAGTCGGAGGGAGAGGTGATTTGTTAGGGAGAGGTGATTTGTTATGACAGCAGCAGGGAAGGTTTGAGAAGGTTACCAAGTGTGTATTTATCAGTTATATAAAGGTAGTTTTAAGCTTATAAAATGTCAAAGAATGTGACTTTATAGTAAGGCATACAAGCACCTCACCAGGCATCACACAAGTAGCTTTGAATTTATGTATATGTAATGTATTTCATTGGGCAAAGGAAAGCTCAGGAGCCTAACTCCTGTATTTTATTTATTTCTTATGGGGAAAATTTATCCGCTTAACGTTGTTTCGTATAACCTCGCATTTTCAGGAACGTAACCCTGACATTAAGCGAGGACGTACTGTATCACCTGAACCACCAGCACTAGCACCACCTTCACCACTCACTTCACCACCTTCCTCAGCATGGAATTGGTCATACAGGACCTTGGCTTTCTCACGGATAAACTTCTGGCTGAGAGGGATGTGGTGGCGGTTAAAGTCCTCAATCCAGATGTTAAGGGCTTTCTCCATCTTCACCATAGCTGTATCCCTCATATTAGCAGCTACCTTGGCAGAAGAGGGTGCCACTTAGGGCAACGGCATAACGAATCTCCCTCTCTTTCTTCTTGATGTAGCGAACAGTGGACCCATTGATGCCATACTCCCAGCCACACGCAGCAAAGCTCTAGCCACTCCTAAGTTTGTCCAGCAGTTGTATCTTCTCCACGAGGGTCGAGACCTTCTTTTCTCTCTTTACTTGTTTGGGCGCCTTCCTGCGGCTAGATGAAGGTGGTTGAGGGCGTTTGGGAGCCACAAGAAGCAGGAGGAGCTTAATTGTTACGAGAAGAGTAGCACAAGAGCGAGAGATACAAATGTTTAGCCTGTACTGAGGCGTAGGTAGTTACGTGTGTGTGGGCCAGCCTCCTGGGACAAGAAAGACACCTTGCAGGACGCCACAGAACTCGCGCTCCCCGTACCGGCCATGAAAATTATGGCAACTTTAAAACTACCTGCAGACATTCTTAGGTATATCCTCAAATAATAGAGGACCGCAAAATAAAAATCCACGAATTATCCGGGCATACTGTAGATGACCAACACTGGAGCCAGTGCATGCCCAGTACTTGCTAACAGTGTGTAACAGAGATGTGTCCAATCAGTAATGAAGAAGATTAAGTAAATTAAATCACTGGGAAATATCAGTTTCAACTGAAGTTTTTTGCTTATTGTATATACCCTGTATATAAACATGCAAAACATAAATCTTATCCCTCCATACTTACCAAGAACACAGGGAATGATTTATATTCTACAACACAACATAAACCTTAAGACATTCACATACCTCAGCTGGTTACTGCTTCCAGTTTTAATGGCTTCTTTGTAATAGTTAATAGCTTTCCCATACTGATGTGTCTTCACCAGAGCAATGCCCATACGGCATGCTAGAACTGAATCCCGGGGGTTGCGCTTCAATGACTGTTCATAAACCTGAAACCAGTGGAAATTTAAAATATACAGTAAAGTAGAGTTACCCAATAATGCGAGTCAGGTATCACCAGGGCCCACATTACTGCAAAGACATGTTAAAGTGTGACATACAGTAGGTGTACAGTATATGTTAAATGTTCTAATGGGTCTGAATGACAAAAAGCATACAGTGCACTAAATATTAGATAAATTTGTCACTAAAAAGGGCTAAAAAATGGTTTTATTCTATCATCATCATCGTCGTATTATGATCATTTTCCACACTTGCGTGGGTTAGCCACAGTTACCTGATGGCAGCTCTCCATGCTACATGGTTTCTTGCAGTCTCTTTTGTCAATTTAATAACTCTGACATTATTTCTTCCAACCTTTCCCCATGTCATTCTTAGCCTACTCCTAGTCCTCCTCCCCTACATTTAGGCTTATGCACCTCTTTACTTTATCCTCTTTGCCACTGATTGGCCTGTTAGCCACTTGGGCCAATTGGTCTTATCCATTGTCTCCAAAAGCTAAACGACCATCTCAACCTACCTCTGTGCAATCGCCCTCTTAGCTCTGAACAGGGTCACGTATCTTTCAGTGTCATATTGCACATCTACCTCACCATTCTCATATTGCTTACTACTTTTGTCATCTTCTTTAACTGCCAATGTTTCACTGCCATACAACATCATACATACCATCCACATACATTATTCGAGGGGAAAGTCCTCTTGCTATCAATAAAAGCAGCAGCTCCTAATTCCTTCCCCCCCCCCAGCACTGATCATGTCATCTAAATAACAGAAGTCATTGACACAATCCAGGAACATATCACCAATGTTCAGATTCTCCAGCCTTCCTGTAAGCACATTGGTTACCTGCATCGACAGAATACAGTACCTAAAGTCAGCTACATACTGCAGTCTATCATCTACTCCATTGCACTTCTTGTGTACTCATTCCTCAACATAAGAACATAAGAACATGAGAATGGGGGAAACTATAGGCGGCCTATTGGCCCATACTGGGCAGTCCCAGTTACACCCAGCCCCTATTGTTAACGTGTTCCACTCATCCACTACTTTATTTCCAAACCAATGTTTACATATTTTGCGCCTAAATCTAAATTTGTTTAATGTAAAACCATTGTTACAAGTTCTCTCCTGGTTGGATAGTTTGAGTACCTTTGTAATGTCCCTTTTGTTCAGCCCTGACTTCCATAACACATTGTAGTATATATATCTCATCAGTCCATATACAAACAAAACCTATTCGATTTCCAACTCTATATATATATATACAGCTAGACCCCGACTTACGGCGGTTAGGGACCCAAATCCCGGGTCGAAAGTCCGACATAGATAAAATGTTTTTTTTTAATAAAAATCTTACAATACAGGCGGTGATAAAAGTAATGAATATTGAGGAATGGATACAGTACAGTGATAATGATAATAGGAATGGATACAATGTGACTGAGCTTTACCTTTTAATGTGATCAGCTGAATGCATAGGGGCCCCATGATTTTCACAATTATACATAGGACTACATTAACAGAAACATTTCGGTATAGAAAATCATGTCATTAGAAAAATAAATAAAAAATAAAAAAATTAATAAAAATCAGCGTGATTAAATGAAGTCCCGGCGGTCGTGAAAATCATCAACGAGTAAATGAAGTCAGGTCTGGCATATGTATATAACGTAACATGTGTAATATATATATATATATATATATATATATATATATATATATATATATATATATATATATATATACATATATATATATATATATATATATATATATATATATATATATATATATATATATATATATATATATATATATATATATATATATATATATATATACATATATATATATATATATATATAGTTGTACCCTTAGCAGTCAGTGTGAGGGTCCCGCGTTAAGTGAAATCGCGTTAAGTGAACAACAGAACATAGGATTAATTCCAATGAGCAGGCCCGACCCCAAGCTCCACTTTTTGAAGCATACTATGTTGTAATGAAAATAACATCATAATTTTTTATGATGGTACATACACAATTAATACTTAAGAAATGAAATACTGATACGCCAAGTTAATGTCCATTCAAATAATAGACTCAACTCCCTCCCCTTTCACTAAACTGTTTCCCTCTCAGAGAAATTTTTGGAAAACCACTAAATTTAATAAATAATACCTCAAACTGATTAGGATAATACAATTGACATTGCTGGATTCCTTGTAGGACCAGGAATATTTTGAATATAAATGTCATATATTTTTGCTAAAAGATCTTGCAATTTACCTGAGAAAAATTTTATCTAAAAATTTGTGTTTTAATACAAAATATATGATGTTTATGTCAAAATAAATCTATAAATATAAGAATTCCCAGCAATGTAAATTATATTTTGACGTTAATTTGTATGAATTTTATGAGCTAAAACAAATATCTTCAGTTAATAAAAAAAATAATCTTCAGGACACTATCTGTCAATCAAAAGTACCCCACCTTTTGCTCCCCCTCTTCAACATTGTGGTCAGTCCAACTAACCCCACAATCCTCCTTCAGAGTTTTTAATTTGGTATTAAATATTTTACTCAGATTAAAGTTGAGACAACATAATTGACATTTATGATTCCTTGTAAGACCAGGAGATATTTTGAATATAATGTCATATGTTTTGCACAAAGATAACATAGTTGAATTTGAGAAAAATTTTCTCTAAAATTTGTATGTCTAATGCCAAGAATATATGATGTTTATGTTCCCAAAATAATCATCAAATTATGAGAATTCTGGCAATGCAGTATATATTCGAACAGGTAATTTGTATGAATTTTGTAATTTAAAACAAATATCTTCCAGTTAATAAAAAAAAATAATTCTTCACTGGGTAACAGGGTAGTGGTCGGTCCCACCTCCCCCACCCCACCAACCGTCCCCAAGGAGATGTGTGGGATAACCATAAATTTTAATAAATAATACCTCAACTAAGTTAGGATAATATAATTTGACATTGCTGGATTCCTTAGCCAAGACCAGGAATATTTTGAATATAAATGTCATATCTTTGCAAAAGATAACATAAGTTACTCTGAAAAATTTTTGCTAAAATTTGTATGTCTAAATGCAAAATATATGATATTTATATTCAAAATAATCATAAATTATGAAATTCCAGCAATGTAAATTATATATTCTGGCCGCGTATTTAGCCTTGAATTTTATGAAGCTAAAACAGGCAGTCCAGGCAGGGTGTTGGCCGGTGGGAGCCAAATCTAAAAATAGCGTCTCTAAGGCGGACACTCACGTATATATGGAAAAATCCGTGTTAGTGAAAGTTCAGCTCTGGCGAGCACATGGATATGATAAAAGCGTTAGAGTGAAACGCGTTAGGCGAGAGTAATACTATATATATATATATATATATATATATATATATATATATATATATATATATATATATATATATATATATATATACACACACACACACACACACATATACAGTCAACCCTCACTTTACGCGGTCCCACATTCCGCGTTTCTACGTCTGCGCGGTGCCCTGCCAGAACCCAGGATGCTCACATTCCGCGGTGGGTGTACCCCTTTACACGGTGAAGTATAATTTTTTTTATTTAGCTCATAAAATTCATACAAATTATCCGGCCAGAATATAATTTACATTGCTGGAATTCTTACAATTTGATGATCATTTTGAATATAAACATCATAGATTTTGCATTAGACATACAAATTTTAGATATAATGTTTACTCTTGAGCAAATATGTTATATTTTGTGCAAAATATATGATATTTATATTCAAAATATTCCTGGTCTTACAAGGAATCAAGCAATGTCAATTATATTATCCTAACTTTAGTCTGATTTATTATTTATTACTAAAAAGGTAAACAGTCTGGTATTCCCACACATTTATCAAGTAGGGACGTTGGTGGGGGGTTGGGGGTAGGGGGGAGGGAGGGAGGGAGGGACCGGCGACCGACCATCTGTTACCGTGTGAAGAATATTTTTTTTTTTATTACTGAAGATTTTTATTTTAGCTCATAAAATTCATACAAATTACCCGGCCAGAATATAATTTACATTGCTGGAATTCTTACAATTTGATGATCATTTTGAATATAAACATCATATATTTTGCATTAGACATAAAATTTTTAGATATAATGTTCACTTTGAGTAAGTATGTTATCTTTTGTGCAAAATATATGACGTTTATATTCAAAATATTCCTGGTCTTACAAGGAATCCAGCAATGTCAATTATATTATCCTAACTTTAATCTGAGGTATTATTTAGTACTAAATGTTAAAATCTAGTTTTTTCACCCACTCTTTCTCTTGAAGGGAGGGTTGGTGGGCAGTGGTGGGGAGGGTTGGGACGGACTGACCATCTGGCTGGTTGGAAGAGGGGGGAGGCAAGGTGGGGTACTTTGATTGACAGATAGTGTCGTGAAAAATATTTATTTTTTTTTATTAACTGAAGATATTTGTTTTAGCTCATAAAATTCATACAAATTACCCGGCCAGAATATAATTTACATTGCTGGAATTCTTACAATTTGATGATCATTTTGAATATAAACATCATAGATTTTGCATTAGACATACAAATTTTAGATGTAATGTTTAATCTGAGTAAATATGTTATCTTTTGTGAAAAATATATGACATTTATATTCAAAATATTCCTGGTCTTACAAGGAATCCAGCAATGCCAATTATATTATCCTAACTTTAGTATGAGGTATTATTTATTACTATACCTGGTTTTCCCCCAAAAAGTTCTCAGAGGGAAGAGCCAGCAGTGTAGTGTGAGAAGAGGGGGAGGGAGTCGTGTCCATTATTTGAATGGACATTAACTTGACGACTGTATTTCTCTATTTCTCTTAAGTATTAATTGTGTGCATGTACCATCATAAAATTAAGATGATATTTTTACTAGAACATAGGTATTGTGTTGGAAAAAGTGGAG